TCGCCGGCGCTTCAGATTAACGCAAAGCGACACAATTCAATCCAAGTTGGAACGCTTTGTCGATAGGTAATCACAATTCCACCATAACTGATCGGTTGTCAATCGTCAGCTGCATACGGTAGGAGTGTGAAGTCTGTGAGCATTAGGTAACAAAACTTTTTGTCGAAATCACCTCTGAGTGATTTCTTTACCAAAGAACCTCAAAATATTCGTCAAAACCAATCAAATAGTGTCCTATTCAAACCGCAAATGGAAGCTTTATCTTTGGTATTCCATTTCAAGTCTCTTCCGAAGAACATCATAAGATAGTTTGAGCCTTTCCATGAGCAACTCGGTGAGTTGCCACCATCAAGCGAGTGTAACCAGAATGGCATAAAACCAAGCTGGTAGACCCTGCCTACAGCTTTGTTAACGGCCCCATTCACCAAAATTGTATGGTGAAACAGGAACATTATCTAGCGCTCAAACAAACTACGGCGCAATCCAAATCTCTTTACGCTCAAACCTGGCAAGAGGCACAGCGTAATTATCATGGAAAGGAATACGTCACCGAACTAATGGAAATCTTAAATGATAAGCACAAGGTTAAACTAGATCTCGGCTCGGATAATGTTCAGATGATCGAGAAGCAAATATCAAGTGATTTAAAAATTATCATGCTACATGGTTCCATCACTGAGGTACTGATAAATTAACTAAAACCTATAGGTTGTCATACACCGATTATCTACAGGTTACCAAAGGTATGAACTAAATTTCCCTGTACGGCCCATATTATCTATGGATAACTAGCCCTATCACAGATTAGCCCAGTGGCTCTTATAATTCCTCCAATCAGTAAACAAATGCTTCGGAAATCACACACTACATGATTCATTTCAATTTTGTGATATTTCGTCTAGTTTGAATCTAACTGGTTTTAAATTTGTTCGTTCGATTTCGCTTTGTTCACAAATGCTCTCTTTACACGAAACCGTAGAATTTATCTGTGAACTCACCACCCGAGAACACATCAACCTTATCATACCTCCGAGGCTTTCGAAACCTTTCATTTATTTGTGCATTTAGAACCTACTTTTTTCGTTGGTAGCCTTCTTGGTCCTATCTTGGTATGATAGAAGCACGGAGTGAACGATTTTATTTGAAAGATACGTTTATGATGTTTGCATCTTCTTCAGTTAGCATGGGTATATGTTTGCGCTGCTGGTTGAATTCAACACTTGAAATTCACCTGTGAAGGAGAGAAGGAAAAATCACTCGCTTTCCTTGATGTCTTGGTAACCCATACAATGATCTATCTTCTGCAACAAGACTTGGTTCGCGCAGTATCTTCACTTGAAGAGTTACTCATCAATGGAAGACAAGAGAGCCCTGGTATCTCCCACTGAATTTACGCGTTCTGATGCAGCTGCAACAAAGTGTACATTGATGAACCGATCTGTGAAATTGAATGGCCGAACATATCTCAAAGAATGTGCGTGATTCAATGACTAAGTCTACATCACAGATTCTGACTGCCTCACGTAGAATAACTTCGGATAGGCCGACCATTTGGTTTAAAGCGGTCACAAGGTCAACGTTGCGAACGCGTTCTACGTTCTCTTATCATCGCGACACACACCGACTAAGGATATTCGATACCGAATCAATCGTTCACAACGAACACCTGTGTCCAAAAGTGTATGACTTTAAACCTCGCTGACTGTAATCAATAATGTGCATCATGCACACGTTCACGGACACACACATCAAATCTGACTATAGTTCTTGAGTCACTTCATTTGCCCATCTTTTTCAATGTTATACGTAAGCGATCGGTGAGAGTATACGACAAGTTTATTCTTGGAGCGTTTGTCTTCTGATTAGTCCAATTAGATTGATTGCCTGAACTAAAGATTTCATTTCAACTCTGTTGTACTTCATACACACAAATACGCGTATAACGTCATCTTAGAACCGTCGTAGTTGTAATTTTTCATCCCGCTTTTTTGGGGCATCAGCAATCCGTACTGTTATGCATTGGAATAATTGGGAAGAGCTGGAAAAGAGCGTATTAGCAATACTGTTCTTCTCACTACATTTTCAGTAAACTAAGATAGAAACCGGAAATTATCCGTAGTCCTACGTAGTGATTGCTGTGATGATAGTAGTAATGTCGGGAGATACTACTCACCTGTGAGGATGAACGAAGTCCGTCGTGCAAATCGGAATGATCTCGCTACATGGTACGAAGAAATCTGCAGCACATGACGTAAACCAACAAAAGAAACTCCGAAATACCATTAAACAAGGTCAAGAGTGACACCGCCTGACGTTGAAAACCGGAGACAAACCCGATCACAATCCAAAAAGAAATCATTTACCGGCCAAGGCATGCAGCGATCCTTTCGGGTAGGAGTGTCGTGAGGTAATACTCATTTGTGAGTAGTAGGTAACATAGTTGGTGATTACTTTCAGCGACCAAAAATCAACAAGATCACTGAGGGCAATTTGCAGAGTCTCAGAGAAGAACTATTGACCTCTACATTCATTAAACGTCGTGTGGCCAGGATCCGCAATTGTACGTTTCTGATTAGTTCTTTTGTGTCATGCATGCCAAATTCGTGATACCCCATGTAAACATCCTCAATAATCAAGTATCTTCGGCCAGTATCGCTTTCTGGAATTATAACAATAGTACGCACTGAACTCGAAGTACGAAACACGCAATGCGGAGCACGGAATACGAATCAAAGATTAGCAATCACGGACTGGATCACGGTAGCACCGGACCACACCGGCACGCAATTTCTCACGTAACTGAAACACGAAGAGAAGTCCACATGAAAAGTAGCTCATTTATTGTAAGAAATAATTGGGATTAAATAATATGTACAAAGTAAGTCCATTAGTTATCGGGGCCTCTGCCAATCGCGTTCCAGTATTGCTTGTGTTGTTCTGCCTTAGTCTGGACAGCGCAGTCTCTGATTGACTGGTACATTCTATCTGTGGTATGTAGTTCAGAAGCGGTGACACGTACGCCCTTTGCTGACGTCACCCGTGAAGTTTGATTCTCCACAGTTGTCCTAAAATTGTTACGCGTTGCTCCAGGGTATACGTCATTTCGTAAACCCAGCTCACCACATTCTATCACTCAGTTTCACCTGTCTATTTGATTAGCTCGTGCAACAGATATCGATCGAATCGTGAACCGAAAATGAATACCGAAATGCACACAACTGTATCGAACGGAGACAAGTAAGGTGCAATTTTAAATTTTGCTGAGGCAATGCAAATTGCACCTGGTGCTTCTGGATATACTCAGCCAGTTTTAACGTTATTCTAACTTCATCAGAGAGGATGATTTTTAATCTTGCACCAAGATGATTCATTTTTGATAGGTCTTAATATCAGAACCCTACCAACACTGGAGTAACTATCGTAAAAGGAAAAACGATTTTCAAAGTTATTTCATAAGGAAAGAAAGCAATGACGATCGAAAACGCATTCAAACGAAATGGAACTGGGTATGATAACCGACAAAGAACTCTGAACAGCTGTTTCGTTCTGTTCGGGACTCGTCAGCAGTGCCTACATTTTGTGTCCCTGTCAGGATTCGAACCGCAAGTATTTGAATGCATTTACCTCGTGGGAAATTATGAAGTGAAACTCACATCCAACACCATCTAGAGGGCCTGGTGCCTCTAAAAGTTCGAACTGGCTAATCCGAGCTAGATACCAAAAACTGATCGAAAACGAACCAACGTGCCAAGAATGAAACTGCTACTCGGTGTTCTGCTTCTTTTGTCTGAAGTGAGCCTGAATCAAATTTGTGGCAATATAGAAGAACAAATCAGGATCTGACGGAGAATACTAAACCTGAAAGATGATTTTCAGTAAAATTGTATGCATCCTCACGGATAAAGATAAACGAATAGATAGATAGATAGATAGATAGATAGATAGATAGATAGATAGATAGATAGATAGATAGATAGATAGATAGATAGATAGATAGNGCATCATAGTAAAGTTTTCACAGAGAGTATAAGAATAGGGGAAGTTGACTGACGTTGCTGTTTGTCTCTCACTTTTATCAGATGATGATGAGCAGACCGTACTCTGTGTGAGTGGGGAAAAAACATTCCGTGCAGTTCACTGTAAATGTTCATCAATTCTCCTTAAGCCAACACACACCCCCTCCCCACCTCTACCTAGGGGTTCCTTAATCATGGCCTTGCTCACTCAGTGTACCTTGTAGTATTAGTAGTAGTAGTAGTAGTAGTACCACCACGCTTCCTCACACCGCCATTTCCGCTATTTCATGAATCTGTTAAAATTCATGCTTCGGTCCCCATCGTTTTTGGCATGTCGTGGAGACCTCACACACAGGATGCAATTGTGAATGGAAGCTGTGCGTGCGCGTGTTTGACAGACGGGCGCCGAACACACTCTACCTATTGTGCGGTTCTGTGAGCAAAGAATGCACGCTGTGTGTGTGTGTGTGTGTGTGTGTGTGTGTGTGGGTGGGTGGGCGTGTTCACGTGTGTGCTGCTTGCGTGTGTGAATAATTTCACTGCGGGCATTGAACTTCGTTTGAGAGCCATCAATGACTNTAATGGTAAACAGTTTTATTCATTGCTTGGTGATAATCACTTATTATATTGAAACAAGGAACATCATACTTCATCGACTCAAGTGATTTATGGTTGAAATCTTCGTTTGAAAATTCAAATGTGAGCGGCCATTTACTTTACTTCACTTATGATTTGACCTAATAGACAATGGCAAAGACAAAGGCATAATATTCAATGTTTGTATTCCTCTAATTATATTTAGTTAAGTGACTTTTGTTTTTCCAAATTGAAGAGCGGTAGACGTAGGCCATTTTCAATTATTCTCTCTCTCAATGTTTAAAGATAATAAAAACAGTCGTGCAGTAGGTACATTNGAATAAGTTGACTTCTTAAATTAGGTCACACATTTATGACAATCATCGCTGGAGGATAAATCTGGAATATTCATGCGGCACCTTGCTTTGCACATTCCTCGTAGCGCTTTTCCACAACGATTCGCCATTCAGAACTCGATAAAAGTAGCTGTGGAAAAGGGGAACGAACATGTAGCGCATTACATGAGAAACATGTGCTCTGTGAAACATACTTGTGAAATAAAACGCTGAAAAACATTTCTACTATTCACCTACGGTAAAACGCGATTCACCCATGTCCACCGTCTCTTTCCATTGCCATTGCTGCGAATTTCCAACATGTTCCGAAGTCAATAAAGAGGCACCTCAGTTGAATTGCAACGTACGCTCAGGGTATGGCGAAATTTGATGACCGCGACTTCTGTCATTCTCTTTAGCAGCAGTGTTAACTTGCCTCATATCACCTAATTCCCTCTCTAAAGTTTCACTTCGGGTAGAATACATTTATTTGGACTGCAATTATTCAAATGCATTGGTTGTACAGGATAGCAAATAATGACTTTGGTCAGTTTTGTATAAATGCCTGTGACGCTTTCAGCAAGGAATTTTCATAATGCTTCTCTGACTTCGCGGAAAGTCGGTTACTGTTCTGGATTGTGTTCAAAACGCCGTCCGTTGTGTCAAACGGCTGAGGTTATGATACAGATCAATCTCAATAGCGCACACACACATACACAACATTCCAGCGACTGCTTCTGGAGTTCATTGTGGCCAGTGGACCATTTTGCATTCCCATGAATATAACATACTACGGAGGTTGTGATGAGTTTACTAATTTGATAACTGGTCATATGCATTTTTTTATTTGTGCGTTGATTTACTCGCTAAGCTGCTCAACATTTGTGTTACCAGTAAATTGGTTTCGAGTGCGAACTTCATTTGGGATGCTGCTATAATTATGATTTCTCATTGAATTCCAAGGCACTGTTTGGATTTTGTTTCTTTTACTTGATTATCGAAAGTGCTTTCATTAGAACTAGACCTGAGGAGTGCAGAAAAAGTAATATTGATGGCATTTAATACACCACTCAGATGAATATTTTGAACGATCTTGAAATGAATATTTTACCAACTTGACACATTTATTTTGTATCTGACATTAGTAGCAACCTTCGATTGTTTAATTAGTCTTCAGTAAAACTAGTACTGCGCAACGTTGAATTACTGATTGACGTAAGCATAAACATATAATTTCGTTAGACAAATTTGGTCGATATCGCAAGCGGCAAACAGTAAAAGTAACCTGCTACATATGTGGAGTTAATAGTTTCCTGGGAATCGCGTGCAGGATTTATAGACTTACAACTTAAACGTTCTTACCTTTACCGTACGTTAAGAATTTAACGTCAGGAAAAAATAATCCACAATAAAATATTAAATCACTCAATTTTCAAAACGGACTCTTTATTTACCGATAATTTCCGATTAGTTTATTCTAAATAGGTTTCCACGCCCAAGATAAAACGTTATGGTAAAAAGAAATTTCTTCTTCTGGCTCCTGGAGTGTTTCGTTTACTTCCATGACAAGCCAAGAATACTTCCATTGCAGACATGGTCCTCAAGCAATTAGTTGGGATAGCTTTGATTGGGGGTATACTAATAAACTGGCACAACAGTCCGATTTCCTGTTGATCTCCGAGAAAGCGAGAGACGAGACGGGTTGTAGGTTTCTAGCACTGTTTCAATTGCAGTCTCTGACTAGAAATTCCGGAGCGAACACTTCAGAAAGTACCTCTCCATGGTATCAACTGAAACTTATTCCCTCAAAATATTTGCATTCATCTGCCTCTGGTTTTGTATTCTTCTCTTCTAAAGTTACAACGCTTTAAAGTATTCATAGTCTAATTTAATGTGCCAAAACACTTGACATGGAATTTCTTTTTCCGGAATATCAGCATACCTTTTTCCAGTCCCAACCGTGTCGGACTATGGCCACCACAGCCATGATGGGAATTTCCACGAATGATAAGCATGCAATCACCCATCCAACAGCTATCGCCCAAACAGGAAATTGTTTCTGTTTTGCCTCGGCCTGTTCTACATGCGAGACAAATGTTGACACGATAATCACCAGAATCATCAGTGGCACGAGCAAGCACCAGGCTAGTATCCACCAGATTCGGGTCAGTCGATGCATCGGACCCAGCATCCATTCGATGTCGTCAAGCAGACGTTTGGCACCTAACGAAAAAAGTAAAATAGAATTTGGATAAAGTTCGGGATAAATCTCAGTAGGGACAAAAACGCCCCTCCCATGAAGAATCATGATACAAACATAAGCCAAATGGATGAACTCTGGACGGGTGATAGAGGTTTCTCAATCGTACAAGTGTTCTTACCGTAGAAATAAGCGATCACAATAGTTTCTATGAACCCTATCACCACCACACTGAAAGCAGTCGCGTAGTTGTCCAGCAGCTCAAAGTAGTAAAATCCTGCCTGTAAATGAAAGACGAGAAGTTATGTTATCGACGGTGAACGGTTTGTGATAGAATACAATCCTACCTTACCAAACTTTTAACATGCTAAAAGCATGTACTGTTTTTGCAAATCAGAAGCAATTTTACCGAGTTAAAAAGGAACAGAAGGCCTAAATGATAATAATAATGACCCTCATCTGAATGGCATTCCTTTTCAACTTCAGAAAAGGACTTTTTTGCTTCAGCGATGGATAGCTTACTGTCTTCACCCTCATATGCTTATGATTTTCACATTCTGTTTGCCATCTTCTCCTAATGTTCCGAGCAGTTTTGAAACCGAAAATTATAGTCACTCGTTTTGCCTGAGGAAATGGGAGTGCACATCCACATGATAGAGGGATAAATGAGTAAAACCAGAAGGCTAACTGGTTTATCACGTAGTTATTTAGGAGATGAGGTCAAGCAGGTGGTAGTCAATGGCGCGATAAAGCCAAAAGCAAAGCCTATTTCGCGTCCTCTACGCACCCAAAGGCCGCCATTCAATAATCTTAGTCGAGGACATTGCAATCTGTTGATAGACCTCCAAAAGCCCCATTATGGTCGGGGGTGGGTGTCTAGGGTTGCGGCTGCTCACCATTCCACTGCACCTCACGAAATGCTCCAATACGACTAGCGTCTCTGCTGAGGAAGCCCTACTCACCGCCTGCTCCTGAAGGTGTTTTCCCACCAAAAAGGGAGAATGAAAAACCGACATTCGGGGTTATAACTGGGTTGATTTACCACTCACTGATAGTCCACCTAGGGCAGTTGGCCAAAAACCCTGATTCCAAACCAACAAAGAGGTGTATGAATCACCCACACTTTCCCGTTTGTGGTCGCGGACTATATTGGGCATCCAGGTGTAGTGGGCACCTTGGACGTTTGACCCCTTCCAAAGGGCGTATGATCCGATGAACTGGACACCGACCACCAATGGATTGCGGTTTTAGCACACCGCCCCGCTGTCTTGCGGGTCAGTCTTTGGCTAGCCAAAGGCTCTGGTTGTGGATTTCTCAAAGGAATTCACATGCCTTAAACTGGGAATCCTGGCAAAATTCAGCCCACATGTAAACCATGGAACGCGTCTCCTTCTTATGAAGACTATTTTACCATGATTTGTTTGACTCACAGGCTGTATTCAGACCGGTGTGAAAATAAGTAAAAATGCATAAGCGTAGTCTTTTGAACTAACCGTTTGACATCCTAATTTTGCCTTGAGTATTCCGCAACTGTGCATTGCTTGCAAAAGACTCATCCTAATTTTTCGTTTAGTTTTCGCTCTAAAACTGTGAAATGGAATGCAATTGCCCGTTTGGTTGCCATTTTGTACTCACTCTTTTCCTCGGAGAGCGAATTACCACTCTGACATCTAATTTAATCAGATTGCACAAATTTTCAGAATACACGACTTTTTAAATCCCTAAATCTCTTATAAGATTGCTTCTTATGTTCCCCGTGTCAGCTGTTATCCATTAGTAAGACAATAAATTGCTCAATGCGCCCACTGAACCCAAGATCATGAATAAGATCTAGTCTTGTATTCATGCTACCTGGAAATGAAGCACAGTCGTTGTTACAACTGATCACTCGGATGAACCTTATTTGTGGATCACGGACGCACGAAACAACAGCGCAGATACTTCACGCTAATAAACTGCTGAAACAGGACATATACTGTATTCTATTTCGCCTGTTCGCCAAGCTTGGCAATTTGTTTGCAAACGTTTCATCACCAGCCGAGGTGACATCATCAGTACTTGTGAAGTGGCAGTCTTCTGTTTGTATCCGTTAGTTTATATATGCTCTTTTCCACCGACCAATTTTGTGTCCCATTGAATTCGACTGGGTTCGTCATTAAACTGGTGCCTGGGGGTGAGGTTGGTAGGGGAGGTGGTTGTCCATCCGTCTTGATTTCGGTTTCGGGCGGTTCTCAAGTCACGCGGTGACCTTTTTTGTTGATTTATTTGATCCTTGAGTTGCATTGGCCTGTAAACGTGATCCATTTCAATGTTCCTGTTGACTGCGTTGACTGAGGAGTGCCAAGGTTCGAGAAATTCTCTGGCGTATTTTGACCGTGCTTGGTCGATAATTTTCACTGAAGCGAAGTCAAACTGATGTCCTTCTTCATCTTCGTGGAGGAAAATCAAAGATAGAGCGTCATGTCTCTTGACTGTCGCTTGGTGTTCACGGATTCTTGTTTACAGTTTTCTCCCAGTTTGTCCGATATAGTGTTTTGGGCAGTTCTTGCAGTTTATTTTTTCGATAACACTGCTCTTGTCCTTCTCCATTGTTCTCTCCTTTGGTTTTGACAGAAGTATCCTTAGACAGGCAGTAGGTTTGTGGGCGATTTGGAGTCCACATGATCCGAACAGTCTTGCCGTCATTTCCGAAACGTCCTCGATTTACGGCAGGGGCGTTCTTGTTCCCGAATCTCCGTCTGTTGTTTCTTTCTTTCTTAGGCTTAGAGTTATTTTGATGAAGTTGCGGGTGTAGCCGTTGAGAGATAATACTCTGAGGAGATATCTTTCTTCTTTCTTCTTGAGTATATCGGTGCTGCTGTGCGTTTGGATTCTTCCGAACAAGATTTTAACACACACTGTATATTGTAAGCAACTTCATAGGAATACCGCGCCTATTCTTTTGAGGCCTTCTATGATTGATCATTACAAATCCCAGTGCCCATCCCCTGAAAACGACTCTATGCAGATTGACATTTCAACAAGTGTGCTGTCACTTATTTGCAGTTCGACAATGGGGTTTTATTGTTTGTACCAGGATCAGCTTAATCAGTGGCCCAGACAGACATCACTTATGAGAGTAAATCCTTCACCGTTGTGAACGGCCAGCCTATGGTATTTAGCCGACCACTCCAACCTTATTCTTAATCGTAAGTAGGAACTGGTGCATAACGAAGACAGTAGGCTCCTGATATACTGAGGAAGAGTGCCATTATCACACCGCTGGACAAGGGCAAACAACAAGCGTATTACAAATATCCCCCACTGGTGACCAAAAGTTTTGTGTCCGAATAAGGCAAGCTATTTAATTAGTAAAGAAACTTGAAACGCCATTGTAATCATTAGAATGTAGCAATGTGAATTGTATCGGGCTGTACCCGATAATCTTCCTCTTAAAAATTAGTGTGAATTTGATATGACATAATAATAATAAATCTAGTATGTAAATCTCCAACATTAGTGATTCGGAATCTGCTCGTGTAACTTACTCGGGTTGTCAGAATCAGTCCCAAAAGATATTCCATAACGCAGACGGCTAGAGTTAACCAAACATGTTTGCGACGGAATAAGTGTGGAAATTGATCGGTCAGTCCCGTGGTCACGGCTTCCAAAGTGGCAAACTGTTGAAATTCGACAGACCAAAATAACACACACGGTTACATGGATGCGGACAGTGCTATGGTACTGGGAAACTCTAAACTACCTGAGTTACAGATACTCACATTCCACCAATGGTTTACAGAAGTCACAAAACTCGCCATTACCATGTCATCCAACAATATCTCTGCCAAATAATTTGCTGAAATTCGAAATCCTAAACGTCCTTGTTCCACGATGCATCTGAAAATTTATATCTAGTAATCCATTCAAAATAGATTAAAAATAATGAAAAGGAACCATTGTTTTCCCAACCATTGTATTTATGATTCACCAAACATTGTAGGCTGAAAAAAGCTTTTGCTGTTTGATAGCTAAATGTATCCTCGTTGCAGCAACCTCTCCAGCTGACTAGTTTTTCTCTCAATCGATATAAAGCGTTTTGCAGATATCGGCACTTTGTGTCATAGTAATCAGACTCTATTCACAATTAAGTTGTCAGCGCGATAGGAATGTCCTTAGGTTATAAAGACAGTTCTAAGTGACTGATTTGACGATTGGTGATCATTTCGCCTTTATTAAAATCGTGTTATCATGAAAATGCATTAGGCATACTTCTTTGTTCAAACATCAAATATATTGATACCACAAAAATTCCATTATACTTGACAACCCACAAATTATCGATTATCCCCACCGTTTCCACGTCAAATCCATGTCCTGTACGCCACTGCTACCAAACGTTTGCTATACCTAAACACAATAGGGGTCTTTTTATTCCATCCAGCATCGCATTCACGGTTTCAGCTTCATAATTATATTTTGCAATGCTTTCAAGCTGCTGATTTAGCCAAAATCTATTTAATATACAGAATGTTGTAGGCAGTGACATTTCAATTAAGCATCCATAAAGCTAAGCCACTCCAGTGAATTAGGCCCCATCGAACGGACAAGGTTTCAGTTCAATGGATTTTAGTTTTCGTACTGAATAATTTATACGGTGTTTTTACCCTCTGCTGTTATCGGGTTCACCACAGCGAATTGTTCCGTTTTACTGAGCAGTCGTTGGTATGCATTCATTATTCTAAACAAGATCATGTGAAAGCACATTGGAATAATCAAACTGATTTACATTTTTGTATGCCATGAAAACCACGCAGATCTGTTATGATTTCTGGCAACGAACTACAATAGGTGTTAGCTATCAATCGACTGATGCATATGGTATCACAGCACATTGATTTTTATGTTGCTCGTGAAAGAGTCGTTGCGTAACTTTTGTAAATGATTTGGCACCCATATTTTAAACATCGTGTTTTGAGTTACCATACATTGCGTACCACTTCACAACGAACGATGAGCTTATAAACTCTGGCTAATAAAAAACAGTGTACCAACTACAAGTCAGTGAAATAGTTCATGAGCGGACGAGTTACCAGACATGGCACAGATTCTACCTGGCTATCCATTCCAAGTGTGAGCAGCATCAGAAAGAAGAGGACACTCCAAACGGGTGAGCCTGGTAACGTGCACAAGGCCTGGGGATAGGCGACAAAAGCCAGACCCGGGCCTTGACGGATTAGCTGTGTGTTGTCACTTTGACCGGTTATATACATCAAGTGACCGAGCACCGAGAAAATGGCAAATCCACCGTAAAAGCTGGTCAGGCCACAAATAGCTGGTAAAATAATTGCATCCCTGCAAGGAAAACGGGAACATTGCTCTGTAATGAATTAACTGTCGGATTAAAGTAAGAAACTATTAAATGTCCCCGTAATGATGAATCCTCGACCGGAGTTGCAGGATTTGTTCCACAGAACGATGTGGTTTTCTGCTAGCATGTCTAAACTTTGCGCTAGGCAATTATTTCGGCCTGTATGGATGAAAAAATATTTCCGTCGTCAAGGATATACAATTTGGAATTTCCCACCTACCCATGTGAGCTCCCACAAAACTTCATCTCACCAGCTGGGATGTTTTCAGTGCTTTATCTAGTAACTAAAAACAATTCATTCGATATGTGTTAAGTATTTGGTGTGACATGTGGTGCAATAATAATGACAATCAGTGATCACACGGGATTAAAATGATGAAAATTTGATTCATCCAGAAATTCGAATGAGATAATCAACAAAGAGTACCGGACAGCGGTTTCGTCTTGTTAGGGACTCGTCAGCGATGAAAAGGGAAGAGGACCAACTGTTTATTCAAGTTGGGAGATACAGACGCACAGCCTTGCCCAAACAAATTCAATAATCGTTGAGAAGCACCAAATGTTCCACCGAAATTTATTCCCTCACAATGAATTTCTATCTTTTTGGGAAGCTAATATTTGAGTGAGTCAACAAATCTCAATGAAATAATTAGCTTGGCTTAGGTCGTCTACCCGTAGATCAATCACTTGACCAGTTCTGTTAGAATCGAATGTGACCGAAACAACGACACTCACTAATCTCCTGGTTGAGCCTACTGTTCCACCCGACGTGTGCAATACTTTTTATCTCGCCCACAAAGACCAAACATATTATTATTCTTTTAGCGGTTGAAGTTATTGTGATTCATTAAAATGACTCCATTTTATCTATCCAGAAAGAGCTAATGATAACATTGGGCCCACAATGGCAAGCAGATTGCGATCAGATGACTGATTGTTCACGTTTGCTAACCCTCAGTCCCCTCAAGGGTTATCATGTTTCTGAACCATGCTATCTTAACCCATTACAGTTAAAATCTTATCAGCAATCCCTCTAATTCCGTCTCGAATTCGATCAACTTCAATCCGTGCTCCATGGAAATTTTGAAAGAATGCCTGTAAACAAGTTTTCAGTACCCGTATTAGCGGGTAAGCGGGACATTTGTTCCGTTTTGAACAATATCAATCAATATCAATCAAAATGGTTGATGTGGTCAATCAAACAAATGGTCAATCCATAGAAGCCTCAGGAATTTGGAGAAAATGAAACACGCACACGGCGAAAGACGCTTCGACTCACCGTTGAACATTATGGTGATATTTGTTGTACGAAGCAAAGGTGATCAGGCCACCCCAAGCAGGTCCCAGGGAGTAAAATATTTGTGTTGCCGCGGCAATCCAGACCTGTCACGAAAAGGAATAAACAAGCATTGATATAGGTGGGTCAATGTGCGCTGGGGTTGTTTAATTTGAGACTGCACGAAGCGCACATGAAGCGGAGTTAACACAACTATTTTCTCTTTGTCATTTATGATTAGCAGCTGGTGCTCTATTTCGGAGGTAAATCATTAAGTGTTTCTTCTACCGGTTGCTGCAAGTCAATCCAAATGACCCTTTATGTTTTTAAAATCCTTTCTGTTTATGAGATATGTTCTGATTATCGATCTATGGATTGCTGGAGTCTGTTTTTGTAAAACATTTCATCTCACTGTTTGAACGCATTTTGCTCCCGTGTTTTCAAGGCAGAGCATATCTTAATTTGACCACTATTGTATACAACATGCAAAGCGTACTTAAGGAATTCCACACGAGAATACGCCAAACGATTCAACCTTTAAGGACATACAACCCATAGTCACTTGAGCTATTGTAGTGCGATGTATCGAAAATGAGGTCATAGGAAGCAGAAGGGAGTTGAATCTTTGCAGTTTTATTCTGGCAAACGCATAAATGGCTGCACTGCTGACGAGATTTAAGGAGAATAGACTAGCCTACTTGTTCTGTTTGTTGGTCTGCACAAGAAGCTTTTATTAAATTGAATACTAAATCATACAGATAGGTTTTACTCCTACGGACGACCAACATTGCTGTTTAAGAAATAACCGAATTCGGGGTTTGACACATCAGGTTACATAAAATTACATTGTGATGCACTTGGATGTGAATAAAACGGTGTTTGACTGGCAGCAGGCAACTGGGCTGTCATGCTTTATCAAGGAACCAGAGGAATGTGAATCAACTGGATTGCAAGAGAGTCCGCGGACCAAGAGGTTCAAAAGAGGAGAGCATCCAAATCACTGGCAAGGTGCCTGTGAGTGCTTCTAAGAACTGAAGCGTTATTTACGTGGGTTCATTTAGAAAGACAGAATACTGGAGTGTGACCCACTGAAGAAAGGTGCATTCCTCAACCAGCGGTCACACTAACTGATTGGTTTATGCTGCTCAATCATAAAATAACCCAATAGGAGCGTAGTTGTAAATGACTGCACTCTTCAGACGAGTTGAATTCCACGACGAACTAAACCAAACAAAAACATAGGAAAATGATAAGGGTATCAGCATCCTACGGAACTTATCATCAATAATTAATCTCTGTGCCCCCGTGGTTGCTCTTGGTGTCAGCTTTCTAATGATGCTAATAGTCACGCATACATTAGATGAGATTTATGCTAAAGAATAAAACGTTTTCTGTAGGTACCTCAATATCAGCCAAGCGATTCCAGTCAGGGAGTATGTAGAACTTGAGTCCTTCCCAGGCCCCGGGTAGTGTACATCCACGAATGAGAATTACTGTGAGAAAAATATACGGCATTGTGGCCGTAACGTACACAACCTGGGGGATAGAAAACAAATCATGCGTTTTAACGTCAGTCGTTTTAACATAGTGGCAAATAAAACCTACCCGTCCGGTTTTAAATTGTTTATTTCTCGACCTCGCTATATATAAATCGGTGTTTATCAAACTCATACAACATCACTCTCATTTTGGAAATGCATTTCAGTTTTTAATATCATACTTGTATACTGGTGGCTACCGGGGTAGTGTATTTATTCCTCATTTTATACCCAACTTCTATATTTCTATTTCTCTTCTATCACCGTTTGAATTTCTACTAACTTGAGTGTCGCGATAGAATTTGTAGTAGTTGGAGAGTTACAGCTCTGATTTTGAAAATGTTTATTGCAAAGTATCATTGAAATTCATTCTAACGAATGATTCCGGTTTTGCGGGAGGTTTTTTTAAGCTGAACTCACGTATTCTAAACTTCTTATCTGTTTTCATTCAATGAGCGGTAGATAAGTCAATTAATGAAAATATTCTAGCTTGAATAAATTTACTATTTATTTGCCACGAAACAACTGAAAGGACTGAAAATATATTCCAAGACACATAAACGTTGACCTCGANCTTGCGATGTTCGGCTCGTTGAATAAGCGTCTTGTGAAGTCAGCATGCCCAAACCGGATTAAATATCCAATAGATTTCAGGATATAGTTGAGGCCATGAGGAAACTTATCCAACAGACACTAATCAAACCACTCAGTTCCTGACCTGCGCAAGAGCTTTGGTGTAAACATTAGCCCAATTTGTTGCATATTTACCGAAATTTCTCCATCAAGACATAAACCAAGAGGGAGAAAGCCCGATGAAATCGAAGCAAGACGATGGCTGAACTTGATCACAGCTGAGAAAAATTGCACTCAACCAATTCGGAAAATATTCCGGGCACATTAGAAGTTATCTCATCACGCTACCGTCTGGAAAATGGTGGCTTGATTTGAAATGCAGCTGACACTTTACATGAAGTTGTTATTGAACGCCCAACAGAGTAGAGCACGTATTATTTTTGCCAACAAATTCAGATTGCGTTGCCTGTCCATTTGGCAAAAGGGTTGGTCTCAGTGGTGGTCAACGAGCAACTCAGCAGGCGGAAAAAGATTATCTATTAACACAGTTCCCCTATAAATTTCGGTTTGCCAGTTAAAAGAGTAAATATCCATCCAGCCTAACGAGTTGAAAGGCAAGCAAATACTGAGAGCCTTGGTGTTGGTCTCCTGCACACCAATCCGGATATCACATTATGTCTTGCACTGGTAAGGCAGGTGTTCGATTACTGTGACTCTTAAACGGCATTCATGAAAGTCATATTTTTCACAGTCGAAGGTCTGTATATTGTCTCGCTTGAGGTTGTAAGTAGAAAACGGTTAGATATCACTAAATATTATTTTTTCACATTTATACAGTTTCTTGAGGGGTCAATTCCAAAGTTGAACTCATTGAGTTACCGCCCAGCAGTTGGTGTTTGAATGTAATTGAAAACCTTTCTCTGTTTTAGAAACAGGGATAATTTAGCTACCTCGACATTGGTCGACAGTAGATACCTAGGAGATAGAAAACAAATCACATTTGAATGCCAGTCCTTCTTAACGGAGTGCCATGTTGAAACTAACCCGTCCGGTTTTAAGTTTTTCGTTCTCTCTCGACATATATATATAATTGATTTTTTTCTCTCAGGTTTACTAGCGTATGTGTAATAAGCTCGAATCTGTGGCATAGCATGCTGAGTCTTGCGATAGGAGTTTATAGGTAACAAGCTACACTGTCAATGACCAAAATACAATAAAGTGGTGAATCAATAAATCAACTAATTGGCTTGGCTGGAATGCTTCTTTTCAAAGTTGTTCAATAAACAAATGATTTACTACATCATAATGTGATATCGGACAGAACATGAACCAGCGATCCTAGCAATTTCACGTAAGATCTGCTTGGCAGGACAACAGATGATAGAAGAACATTCCGGGGGTTAGATCTTGCACGGGTCGGTAGATATGCATTCCGAGGGCCAAATTGAAGCCTGGTCTTTCTTGAGTGCATCAAAGACCTGAGAAATGTGGTCATTTAAAACAATATCACGCTGATTCCCCAAACAACCGTGTACATCCGGTTCAACAGCAAATTAAAAATAGAATATGCAAGGCAAGGCATCTGACTTTGATATAATTCACAAATCACATTTCAAGGTTCTTGTAAAGACAATTTTATTTGGGGTTGGTAGTGCCGATGCACGGTGGAAAAGCAGTCATTTTGAATGTGAATGTAACAGTCACGTGATATCACTGTACCCATACCTTTCCACTAGAACGAATGCCTTTGCACATGCAAACAAAAGTCAGAATCCAAGCGGCAGTCAACGAGACCAGCAATTTCCAATTTATGCCCCCAATCACATTGATATTTTCACTGATTTCCAGAACATTGAACCTTGCAAAGAATCACAAACACAGAGAATTACATAAATTATTCGAATTACTTCGGAATCAAATGATTTATCTTTGAAACTTACGTACTTCTTTATCATTATTGAAAGGTCATATGATAAATGTTCGATTAATGTCATTTTACCATCAACTTTCAGCCTTTCTTTCAAAATTAAATGATCAATCACTTCATAACTACGTTCCACAGGTAAAGAATTCATGAAGCATGTATAGTTGTAAAAATTGGATGTTACTGTAAGACTGTAACGTCATTGAAAGCTCGAAACAGTGAGTCGATAAAATCGGAATTTATATATGAGAGTAGTGTAAATTTGAGGGCATATTTTAGGTGAGGCACAGGAGTTAGGTGAGATACCATTCTACAAAATTTGAAACTAACAGAAATGAAAAGGAATGCGACAGTAAGCATAAATGTCTTATTCATTAGACGTGTGCCTAAGCTTGGCACTCTGGCTATAACTGACAAAATAGCTCCCCTATTAAGATAAACTGATGCATAACTACTAGATCTGCGCTACTTTATTACGCCGTGCTACCCTCACAATTATATAAAAAGCGAAGGTTTTAATTTCAAACAAACAAGGCAACAAATCCCCATACGTAGTTTTTGATTACACAATTAGATTTTACAGGAACAAAAAGCAGTCTTTGCTCTTGAAATATAGATGGGTTGCGTTTAAAGTTTTCGTTATAAACCGTTTATTGAACATGGATATATAATGGCTACTTTCTGACAGGGGGATTTTGTTGTACGTCAATACTAGTGAAAACATGAGATAATAAAACTAAATTTCAATCTGAATCACTTTACTATTTNTTACTATTTCATATGGTAATTCGTCGTGTATATAGCAAATGAAGTATGAGCTGAAAATCTAGGAAGCACTGGACAGCTGTTTCGACCTGATTGGGTCTCATCAACGGAGCGAATCCATCGATCCAACTGGGGATTATTGGCTAATAAACTGTGACAGTGATTATTGAATTGCGCCTGATCACTTATACGGTGATCAAAATGTGTGTGACATACCGTGTATTTTTCGGGTGTTAGTTACATTTCATTAGACATCGAAATTTACACATAAACTGAATCAGTATAATGTGAACTTATCGATCGTTTCGCCTCAAACGGTACACCAGTTTGAAAACACTTTCATAATGGGGTCATCTG